CAGTGGAGAAGTCTGTGTGCATAGCAGAGCAACACAAAGCAGTATGTCTCCCTAGTAAAACACACACAGCACAAATAGTAAAAACAGCACAGAGTTAACCCTTTGATCGTACAGATGTTAACACCTTCCTGTCTAGTGCCATTAGTACAGTGTCAGTGCTTTTTATTAGAACTGATCACTGTATTAGTGTCACTGGGGATGTCAGTGGCAATTAGTCAGTTCACCCCCCCCCCCCCCCAGTGTCAGAATGCCTGCCACAGTCCTGCAATCCTGCTATAAGTCGCTGATTGCCACCATTACCAGTATAAAAAATAAATACCAGTATATATACCACCGTATAAACAAATTAATTTACATGTATTGGAATTTTTTTTAGCAAAGACATGTAGCAGAATAAATTTTGGTCTAAATTTATGCTGAAATTTGATTTTTATATTTTTTTTACTGGAAATGTTTTCTAGCAAAAAGTCAAAAATATTGGGATTTATTGTGAATCGTGGGCTCCCAGGGGTGGCGGGGAGGAATGGTGGTGAGGAGCTAGGCCAGTATCTGAGTTGTTCACTTGAAGTTTACCCAGAGAAATAGTGAGTTGGGCTCTCAGATACCAGTCAGTATAGTGGAACGGTTCCATGTAGGATGCAAGTTCAGCCAGTGAAATCGATGCCATGAATCGAGTAGTGGACATGAAATTTTGAGGGACAGTATAAAACTTTTCCAAGTTGAAGAGATTAGTTAGGGCCTGTATTACTGCTTTTATTTGTGGTGGATTAGGGTGAATCCAAGCCTGTAGAAGTGCTCTGTGGGCCATCAAGAGACAGATATGGATCAACTGAGGAGAGTTTGAAAATGTAGAGAAGTTTGTTGAGCTTGTTTGTTCATGATATTCAAAGATAGAGTACATATCATTGGATCTTTGGGGATGTTAATGTTATAAATTTGAGTGATATATTGCAGGACTTGATCCCAAAAGGCAGAAACTCAATTGCATTCCCATAGACGGTGAAATAGAGTAGGGCAGCTTTGATCACACCAGGAGCACGTTGGGCATGCATAGACCACTTTATTTGTAGAGAAGGGGTAATAAATTTATGCATGGTGAATGATCTTAAATTTAGTTTTTCACCATGCTTCACCAATGAGGTGATTTTCCAGTATCCCTTCAAGAGCTTTCCTGGGACATCCATTTTGAGGAGCATATGAGCCCATGGCTTGAATGGAGTGAGATGATATTTAGTAGATTGTTGTGTAAAGAGATGAGGATAGATGTCTGAGATGGAATAGTGATCCCGATGAAGCAACACCTTGATGAAGGAGATCTTAAAAAGGGTATAGCATGTCTGGAGATAGTTCGCCAGCTGATGATAATGGAAAATGTGGGATCCAGGAAGGGAATATTGCATGGCTAGTTCTGTGAAGAATTTGAAGACTCTGTGGGTGTCATCAAAGATTGATATTATGTTGTTAAGTCCTTAGGGTTTCCCTGTATAGGTAGGTAGTGAGAGACAGTTGATGGTAAGCCAAGGAGTCTCCATACTTCTCTCCATGCCAATATGGTGTCCCTAATCAATCGATTAGATCTGAGAGAGATATGGAGAGATTTAAGTTTTGAATGCAAGATGGTTGGAAGACACAACGGAGAGAGCAGAGCTTTTTCTAGGGAGTAGTTCGAATAGCGTAATTTAATTGACAGCCAAGCTAGGCCCTGGCAGAGATGACAAAAGAGATTGTAAAATCTAATATTAGGCAGATCCGCTCCACCCTTGCTCTTGGGGATACATAGTTTTTGAAGCGCTAAACAGGGTTTTTTTGCATAGCCATAAAAAGGCCTGTTAAGTCATATGCATTTTCTGTACATCAGAGTGCTTTAACAGAATGGGAAGTGTTTGCAAGGGGTAAATCAATCTGGCAAAGGAAATCATTTTAAAGAGGTGACATCTGAAGACTGAAAGAGGAAGAGTTGGCCAGGCTTCCAACTTCTGTGCAATCTTAGTAGAGTGAAGATGGTTCTCATTCTATGCGTATGTCCAGGTAGTTGATAGATTGATTTGCTATGCTAAATAGAGAAGCTGAGAGTCAATGAGCTGAGGCACAGGAATGGACTGGCCAGCAATGGTGGGACTCACCTGCCTTTTGATCTGCAGTACCAGGGCTGGCCAGCGGGTGCTCCCAGCAATCAGAGACTCAACCTTTCAGCCAGCTAACACCTGGAACTGATGATACTGGTGTATTTAAGGGATGGCCAGACTTGCAGACTCTGCCTTGGTGTTGTGTTTGTCCTGGGCCCTGTATCTGTCCTGCATCCTGTTTCTGTTCCTTTGCTACCTGTTCTGATCCCTGGCTTGTGACCCTGACCATCCCTCTGCCTGACCCTCTGTACTACGCTGCTTGCTACCTGTTCTGATCCCTGGCTTGTGACCCTGACCATCCCTCTGCCTGACCCTCTGTACTACGCTGCTTGCTACCTGCTGAACCTGGCCTGTGACCCCGACCATTCTCCGCTTGCTCCCCCTGTACCTACCTGCCCAATTGATATTGACTCGGCCTGCCTGACGACGCTTGCTTGTATGTACTGTTATCTGTGGGTGGTTGGTTGGGTTTGTTTGCACTGTATTATGTTTAGTATTGCACTGCGTTTATGTTTGTATTGTTAGTGTTAATAAATTACATTGTTAATCACATATCTGAAGTCTGCGTTTCCCTGCTTCAGTCACACACCTCTGGTCATACCTGGGAGCCCTGACATTACACCAAGGCCAATCCTGACCAGAAGTGGCTGCACAGGGAAGCCATCTTGGCTTGTTGATGGGAAGGATGGATCTGGATGAGGTTGTGTATTTATATCTGCTAGTGTTTGATGACAGGGAGTATGCTTATCAAACTCTGAAGGAGTATCCCCGGGATGAACTGCTAGAATGTATACGGCTCGCTCATGTTCTAGTAGATCAGGGCACAGAGTTCTCTGAGGTGCAGCCTTTGATTGAGGTTTGTGCAGAGTTGGTTTCATCTGGTACCCCCGAATGCAGGGATGAATTTTTGCCACCATTTAGTGCAGACCAGGTAGAGTCCCTGGTGTGGTTATTAGAGGATGATGTGGGTTACTTTCTGGAGCGTTATTCCACATGTTCACCACAGACACTAAGAGATTGTATAAACGCAGTGCAGTCATTGACCAGACAGGCTTTGTGTAAGCTCAGCTTTGTTCAACCCATACTGCAGACATGGACAGACTTGTTGCACCCAGCCTCAGTCAGCTTACAAAAACCCAGTCCTGCTTCTAACTCTACTCCTGTATTCCCACCAGCTCCTCCAGTTACAGCCCAGTATACTTGGCTATCTACCGCATGTCAGTACCCTGTTCCCACTCGCTGCACCTATCCTGCCTTTAACCCTGTAAAAAAGCCCTCTGTAGCAACTGCTCCCTCTCCTGTTCCATCCTCCAGTTCTTCTCTGTCTCCAGCTGCTCCATTCGTTTGCAGACCTGCGTTTACTTGCAGTGCTCCAGTAGTTAAAACCAGAAAAAAGCGAAAATTCTTTCCAACCAATACCATCCTGCCAGTATCCAAACCGGTGAACCTGCCTTCCGTGACTCAGCCTGAAGCCTCTACTCAGCCTGAAGCCTCTACTCAGCCTGAAGCCTCTACTCAGCCTGATGCCTCTCTCAGCCTGATGCCTCTACTCAGCCTGATGCCTCTACTCGCCTGATGCCTCTACTCGGCCTGATGCCTGTACTCGGCCTGATGCCTCGTACTCGGCCTGATGCCTGTACTCGGCCTGATGCCTCTACTCGGCCTGATGCCTCTACTCAGCCTGATGCCTCTACTCGCCTGATGCCTCTCAGACTCGATGCCTCTACTCGGCTGATGCCTGTACTCAGCCTGATGCCTGTACTCAGCCTGATGCCTCTACTCAGCCTGATGCCTCTCAGCCTGATGCCTCTCTTCAGCCTGATGCCTGTATGCAGCCTGATGCCTCTCTTCAGCCTGATGCCTCTACTCGGCCTGATGCCTCTACTCGGCCTGAAGCCTCTACTCGGCCTGAAGCCTCTACTCGGCCTGATGCCTCTACTCGCCTGATGCCTCTACTCTACTCGGCCTGATGCCTCTACTCGGCCTGAAGCCTCTACTCGGCCTGAAGCCTCTACTCGGCCTGATGCCTCTACTCGGCCTGCCTCTACTCGGCCTGAAGCCTCTACTCGGCCGGACGCCGGCATTCAGCCTGATGCCTCTACCCAGCATGATGAACTGATCCAGCCTGACGATCCTATTAGGCCAGTTGACTCGATGCCCGCTGTTGATCCAGATGATCCGGTACCTGATCCGGTGCCCGCTGTCGTGCCAATTGACTCAGAGCCCGCTGTCGTACCTGGTGACTCGGTGCCCACTGCCTTGCCAGATGACGCGGTGCCCGCTGGCGAGCCAAATGACCTGATGCCTGGTGACCCAGTGCCCGCTGTCATACCTGGTGACCCGATGCCCGCTGTCGAGCCAGACGATCCAATGCCTGGTGACCCGGTGCCCACTGCCTTGCCAGATGACGCGGTGCCCGCTGGCAAGCCAAATGACCTGATGCCTGGTGACCCAGTGCCCGCTGTCATACCTGGTGACCCGATGCCTGCTGTCGAGCCAGACAATCCGGTACCTGATGACCCGGTGACCCCACCCACTGTCGTGCCTGTTGACTCGGAGCCCACTGCCTTGCCAGATGACGCGGTGCCCGCTGTCGAGCCAAATGACCTGATGCCTGGTGACCCGATGCCCGCTGTCCAGCCAGACGATTCAATGTCTGCCCCAGTGCCCGCGGTCATGCCAGTTGACTCGGAACCCACTGCCTTGCCAGATGACGCGGTGCTCGCTGTCAAGCCAAATGACTTGATGCCTGGTGACCCGATGCCCGCTGTCCAGTCAGACGATCCAATGTCTGACCCAGTGCCCGCGGTCATACCAGTTGACTCGGAGCCCACTGCCTTGCCAGATGACGCGGTGCCCGCGCGTCGAGCCAAATGACCTGATGCCTGGCCGATGCCCGCTGTCCAGTCAGACGATCCAATGTCTGACCCAGTGCCCGCGGTCATACCAGTTGACTCGGAGCCCACTGCCTTGCCAGATGACGCGGTGCCCGCTGTCGAGCCAAATGACCTGATGCCTGGTGACCCCCGATGCCCGCTGTCCAGCCAGACGATCCAATGTCTGACCTAGTGCCAGCGGTCATGCCAGTTGACTCGGAGCCCACTGTCGTGCCTGGTGACTCGGTGCCCGCTGCTCCGCCTGGGGGCCCGAGACCTGTCGCCCCGCCTGGGGGCCCGATGCCTGTCGCCCCGCCTGGGGGCCCGATGCCCTGTCGCCGCCCGCCTGGGGGCCCGAGCCTGTCGCTCCACCTGGGGGTCCGGCGCCCGCCGCTCCGCCTGAGGGCCCGAGACCTGTCGCTCCACCCCCGGGGGCCGGCGCCCGCCGCTCCGCCTGAGGGCCCGAGGCCTGTAGTTCCGCCTGGGGGTCCGGCGCCCGCCGCCTGGGGGCCCGATGCCTGTCGCCCCGCCTGGGGGCCCGATGCCTGTCGCCCCGCCTGGGGGTCCGATGCCTGTCGCCCCGCCTAGGGGTCCGATGCCTGTCGCCCCCGCCTGGGGGCCCGAGGCCTGTCGCTCCATCTGGGGGGTCCGGCACCCGCCGCTCCGCCTGAGGGCCCGAGACCTGTAGTTCCCGCCCGGGGGCCCCTGATGCCTGTCGCCCCGCCCGGGGGCCCGAGGCCTGTCGCCCCGCCCGGGGGCCCGAGGCCTGTCGCCCCGCCCGGGGGCCCGAGGCCTGTCGCCCCGCCCGGGGGCCCGAGGCCTGACGCCCCGCCCGGGGGCCCGGTGCCTGCTGCTTCCGCCCGGGGGCCCGGTGCCTGCCGCTCCGCCCGGTGGCCCGCTGCCTGCCGCTTCGCCTGGTAGCCCGATGCCTGCCCGATGTGCTGCCCGGGGTCCAGCCCGATGTGCCTCTGCCCGGAGTCCTGCCCGATGTGCCTCTGCCCGGAGTCCTGCCCGATGTGCCTCTGCCCGGAGTCCAGCCCGATGTGCCTCTGCCCGGAGTCCAGCCCGATGTGCCTCTGCCCGGAGTCCAGCCCGATGTGCCTCTGCCCGGAGTCCAGCCCGATGTGCCTCTGCCCGGAGTCCAGCCCGATGTGCCTCTGCCCGGAGTCCAGCCCGATGTGCCTCTGCCCGGAGTCCAGCCCGATGTGCCTCTGCCCGGAGTCCAGCCCGATGTGCCTCTGCCCGGTGTACCGCTGCCCGGAGTCCTGCCCGGTGTGCCAGTCTTTGATATCCCCGCCAGTTACCAGACCCGGGCGGTGGAACATTTTTCCCAGCTAGGACTGTTTGGAGCGTCCTGAGGCCGCTCCTTGAGGGGGGGGGTACTGTCAGGAATGGACTGGCCAGCAATGGTGGGACTCACCTGCCTTTTGATCTGCAGTACCAGGGCTGGCCAGCGGGTGCTCCCAGCAATCAGAGACTCAACCTTTCAGCCAGCTAACACCTGGAACTGATGATACTGGTGTATTTAAGGGATGGCAGACTTGCAGACTCTGCCTTGGTGTTGTGTTTGTCCTGGGCCCTGTATCTGTCCTGCATCCTGTTTCTGTTCCTTTGCTACCTGTTCTGATCCCTGGCTTGTGACCCTGACCATCCCTCTGCCTGACCCCTCTGTACTACGCTGCCTGCTACCTGTTCTGATCCCTGGCTTGTGACCCTGACCATCCCTCTGCCTGACCCTCTGTACTACGCTGCTTGCTACCTGCTGAACCTGGCCTGTGACCCCGACCATTCTCCGCTTGCTCCCCCTGTACCTACCTGCCCAATTGATATTGACTCGGCCTGCCTGACGACGCTTGCTTGTATGTACTGTTATCTGTGGGTGGTTGGTTGGGTTTGTTTGCACTGTATTATGTTTAGTATTGCACTGTGTTTATGTTTGTATTGTTAGTGTTAATAAATTACATTGTTAATCACATATCTGAAGTCTGCGTTTCCCTGCTTCAGTCACACACACACTCTGAACAGGGGTGACCAGTCTAGCTGTAGGTGATGAGTATATATTTTGTATAAAAGTAAGATTACGACCTGAAATATCAAATCCTCCATGATCATGAAGAGCCAAGAAAAACTATTATTATAAAAAGCCTTTTCTGCATCGAGCGGGATAACAGCTGTTTTGCGTCAGCTGAGCTTTGGCATATTCGGTTGCCATCAAGACTTTGCGCATAATAAGGGTTGCTGAGTGACATGAAACAAAACCAGATTGAGCTGGGTGTAATATAGTAGGCAGTAAAGATGCCAATCTAGCAGAAACAATTTTATAAAGTATTTGAGCATTGACATTGAACAGGGATATAGGCCTATAAGACCCTGGTGATAATGCATGAGTTTAATATATGCCTGTGAGTTAGTTGGAAGGTATGGGCCATCATCCCACATTTCCTTGTAGACATGGTGCAAATTGTCTGGAATTAAATCTATTGTTAGTATGTAGAATTCTGTGCTTTAGCCATCGGGTCCTGGGGCCTTAGTGGTAGGTAATAGCTTAATTGTGGAGCAAATATCATCTAGAGTGATTGGAGAATTAAGGGCTTCTAGTTGGGTTTGTGAAAGTTTGAACAGGTGGACGTTAGCAAGACACACACACACACTGCTGTAAAAAAAATTTACCCCTCCGTATTTTTTTTTTTTCTGCAATCAGTCACACTTAAATTATTCAGATAATGAAAAACATTTTAATATTACACAAAGATTTCCCAAGTAAATAGAAAATTCAGTTAATAAATTAAATCATCATTTTAAAAGGGAAAAAAGCTTTTGCGAAACCTTTGCAAAATCATGAATAAACTGTGATTAACCACATTTTTTGGAAAGATGAGTTAAATTTCACTTGCCACACCCAGGCCTGATTACTTCAAGACTGGTTGAATCAATAAATCACTTAAATAGAAGTCTGACAAAGTGAAGCATGCTAAAAAAAATCTAAAAAAGCACCACAACATGCTGAAATCTAAAGAAATTTTCAAGAACAGATGAGAAAAAAGTTATTGACATGTTTCAGTCTGGACAGTAATACAGACCTATTTATAAGGCTTTGGGACTCCAGCGAGCCATGGTGAGAGCCATTATCCACCAATGGAAAAAATTTGGAACAGTGGTAAACCTTCCCAGGAGTGGCCAGCTTACCAAAATTAACCCAAGGTCATAAAAAAACCACATCTAAAGAATTGCAGGCCTCACTTGCCTCAGTTAAGGTCAGTGTTCATGATTCAAAAATAAGAAAGAGACTGGGTAAAAATAGGCATCCATGGGAGAGTTCCAAGGTGAAAGCCACTGCTGACCAAAAAGAACACAAAGGCTCATCTCAAATTTGGCAAAAAAGCATCTCAATTATCCCTAAGCCTTTTGGGCAAATATTCTGCGGATTGATAAGACAATAGTTGATCTTTTTGGAAGTCATGCATCCCGTTATATCTGGCATAAAACTGACACAACAATTTGTAAAAAGAAAATCACACCAATAGTCAAACATGGTGGTGGTAGTGAGATGGTCTGGGGCTGCTTTGCAACTTGAGGACCTAGATGACTTGCCATAATTGATGGAACCCTGAATTTTGCACTCTACCAGAAAATCCTGAAGGAGAATGTCCAACCATCAGTTTGTGACCTCAAATTAAAGCTCACTTGAAATATGCAGCAGAACAATGATTCAAAACACACTAGCAAGTCCACCTCTGAATGGCTCAAAAAAACAAAATTAAGGTTTTGGAGTGGCCTAGTCAAAGTCTGGACTTGAAACCAATTGAGATGGTGTAGCATGACCTTAAACAGGCAATTTATGCTCGAAACCTCCAATGTGGATGAATTACTAAACATAAAATAAAGTGCAGCGCTAAACATATATAGGTACTGACATATACACAATCAGTCCGATCAAATAAAAAGTCCTCCTCAATTGGATGACAAAGAGTAGGTGCTCAGGTATTCAAGTGACTTGGTTCTGGTATCCGTGCACGTAAGTGATAAACAATGCGCACTCACCAGACCCGCATCAAATATGCGCCTTTGTGTATAAATGATCCAGATGTCATCCGATACTGGGTGGTCCTCCCTCAGCTGTGTATGAGGCTGATGATCCTCTCCACTTAGGGGTCCCCCTGATATTGGACGTTTAGAGATCTGGTCTGGGTCCCTCCGGTGTATCCAGGAGTGGGTCTGCAAATTAGAATGCTCCCCCAGGGGGTAACAAAGATACTCCCATAGTGTAGTATTTTGTAATAAGATAAGGTTTTATTGAGCTTAGGCATACAACGTTGCAGACAGTTAATAGTGCACAACTAACCGTCTGGAATGATAAGATGGCCGCCAGAGCTCCGCGTTGCTCTGACGGCGTGACTTCACGGCGTGTTATGGCTCCTCCTTACGCGTGTCATGCTCCAGCACGTCTTCAGAGGGGGGTTGCCAAACACGCCATGCCGTTCGTCACTTGTATTTAAACGGAAGTGCGCACATGCGCAATGAGGTGTAGCCTGACGGGACGTGCAGAACAAACTGCGCATGCGCGAATAGACGCGCGCCATTTTCCCTTGGTCTCCCCGGGTAGATAAGCAATACAGGCAAACCGTCTGTATATACTGTAAACTGCTGAAACTACATAGGGCGAAGAATATAACGCCCTTAAGCAGAGGTTGAATAAAGATATTTAAACCATGAAAATGACTATACCCCAGCAAAAATACTGGAATGGTATAATTGAACCCCTAATGAAGGAGTTATAGAAATAATCAGTGCTACATATGAAAAATGATTACTGCGCATGTGCTAATCCAAAACAGACATAATAAAATCAAGAATAATAATAACATCAGTAAAAGACCAAATAATATGTACCAGCCAACTCCAAGTCGGCTTAATATGTGCCAGCCAACTCCAAGTCGGCTTAATATTCCAAATGGAGGTGATGTAACATCATATGGCCCGTACAAATATTATAGAATCTTTGCATCTAGATATGAGGTATCTCACAAAGACAGAAATGAAGTATCAAATTTCTAAAGGTTATTAGGACCATAGATGAAACTAAAAAATTATATAAAAATATATATATATGTATATGTATAAAACCACATACACATATATAGAGTAAACGCATGAAATAATAAAAAATATAAAAATAGAATAAAACTAAAAAACAAATGACAACCCTAAAATCAAAGGAACTATAAATAGTTCTTCATATAGAACAACAGAGGACTGGTGATAAGGACACCCTTATCAAAAATACATTTCTTCATATAGAACAACAGAGGACGGGTGATAAGGACAAGATATTAACCCAATTAACTGTTTTCAATAAAACAATTAATGTCTACCTCTATATTAAGTCCCTTTGGTTGTAAAGAATGGAGTTCGTATATCCATTTCATTTCTAGTTGTGACACAGCTCTTTTTTTGTGCATTCCTCTCCAGTGG